ACCAACTTCTTGGTCTCTAATGGGTTGGTAAGATATCACCCTCTTCATACTGAACAACTCTTGCATACAAATTTTGCGTATCTCTCTCCAGTAATCAGAGTAAGGCGAAAATCCAATATCAAGGAAATTATAAGTAAATTTTTTTGAAGCTTGGGTTTGTGGTCTACTGCAACTTTGAAGATCGTGGGTTTTCAAGAGGGCACGAGCAGTCTCGGCAGATGATATGATGATGGTTTCTTTACGACCTAGGCTAAGGCTCATAATGGGACCGTAAAGTTGAGAGAGGCGCCATAGGGATTCGTGTGGGAGCTTGCCAAGTTGATGCATGTTTCCAATGATTGGAAGCTTTGGTGGGCTTGGAGGAAAATTTCCATGTCTTCTAGCTGCTTTCCATTTTAGGAGGATGAAAAGTGAAGAGAGGAAGAGGAAGATGGGAAGCCATGGAGGGAAATGAGGGAAAGACATCGAAATTTAGAAAGAGTTGAAGAACAAGAGGAAAAATATTATGAATAAAAAAAGGTCATTCTTTCCATTAAATAGCTTTTCAATTCTCATTCTCTTATATAATTTAAACGAAAAGAATTAAATATTTTCAAACTTTTAGTAGGTGTCTTACAAAGATAGTTTAAAAAATTATTGATATTATTTTTATGGTGGTAAAAAGAACATACTAGAATCTGGCCGATCCCTCCATGAAAGCAACAATATCTCATCCTCTCATCAAAGAAAATAAAAATTAAAACACTACGTTCTCCTTGAAGAAGCAGTAGGGAAAGAGGACTGAACCATCTAATTGAGACAGTGAGACAGGAACGAATTCAGACTCTTTGCTTTCAACTGACAATTGCAATGAGATAAGATGATCAATTCAGCCATACGGCGGTGAATTCGTTCTCGGGCCTTGTACACACCGCCCATCTCAGGTGTCAAACCAAAAGGAACTATCTGTTTACAAGACCGGTAGGCCAGGTTGGCTCTAGCATAAGGAGGGCTTTCGCCCCAGGCTTGAGCCTTTAAAGGTATAACATGATAGGAGAGGTTCAGGGGCAGGGGCGAAGAAAGACACTTTACCGAGTTGTAGAGGACGATTCTTCTTTCGGGAAGTAAAGCTGCTGGATGGATGAGAACCTTCTTGAACAGCTCTTGCTGCAAATTCTGACTAAACTCGATAACTTGGCGAGGGGGTGTAGGATATCATCAAAATTTAGTTTTTTTTTTTAAATTTAATTTTTATGTTTAAAGTTTTTATTCATGTAGCTATGATTTCTATAAACTTAGTTAGGGTCTAGTCTTATCCAACGCACTCTAGTGTCTCTATTGCTCAATGTTCTTTGCCACATGAAGGAGTGATATAAGCTGCAATAGAAAAGATCTAAATCACAAAAATCAACTTCAACTGCAATGGAGGTGGAGAGTTATCCATCCCTTCTTGTTCTTTTATTTTCATGCCATTCTCGATCTTTCTATGCTTTAAAAGTTAGGTGTCAAGATAAAATATTTCCTGAATTGATAGGAAGAAAAGGAAATTGATAGGAAGAAAAACCAATATAAATTTAGTAATTCTTTTTCGAATAGGTTAGATTTTTTAAAATACTTTGGTCTATATCCCTATTGTCTAATGTAAATATGTGTGGATGAAAATAAATTATTGATGGCTTTCATCTCTAAGTTTATTGGTTTTCAATATATCAAGAACGACACTTGAATTTGACATTCATTTATGATTTTGTATTTGTTTTAAACTTTCAAAGACTTTAAGAGTTAAAGAGTAATACAAAACGAAAAACATAAACTCACATCGGAGAAAGCTTTCGTTTGAGTTCTTAGATAGACCAAAGGTACTTCTGGTCAAGAACTTCTATTACCATCTCAAAACAACTTAGATTAAAAGCATATTGCAATTGGGGTGGTTGTAGAACTACAAAGCTGTCTATTTTTGAGTTTTGCATCTTACTTGAAAATTCAATTATTTCTTGGACGTCTAAAAAGAAAACAAATGTGTCCAGATAATCAGCAGAAGTCGAGTATCGAGCTATGACAAATACTTGTTTAGAGTTAACTTGGCTGAGATACATTCTTCAAGACTTGAAAGCTCTGCTGTCCAAACCAACATTGTTGTATTGAGATAATCAAGCATCATTGCATATAGCAACAATCCAGTTTTTCACGAACTTACGAAGCACACTGAAATAGAATGCCATGTTGTTCGGAAAAAGTTAAAAGTTTAAATCATCAAACCCGTATGTGTAAGCATTAGTCCACCTGGTGATTTGCACCCCTGGGCCCATCATAGTGAGGCTAGTTGTTCGTAGTCGGATGTTCGGAGGTCAGCAAACTCTCGAATATCATGAAGGCATGATGATGATCATCATCATAGTGTACGCCTCTTTACTCATTATCATAATTGGGGAAGTAACCCAATGGATATAAACACACAATATGCATGAGGTCCCTTACTATTGGATGGTATAAAATTGGTACAAGTTTGAGAGGCAACTTTTTGTGGAGGGTGAGACTCAAACCCAATTCTCTTCCATGTCCAAGTCCTCCTCCTTCATTCCATTCGGGAGCTTCCAATCAAAATGGTACAAAAGATTCGCTAAAGCCAACTCCACGATTTTCACCCCCATATTCAACTTTGGGCACATCCTCCGACCAGCCCCAAACGACAAAAACTCAAAATGTTGTCATTTGTAATCAATCAAGCTCTCTACAAATCTCTCTGGAAAGAACTCTTATCGGTCTTTTCAAATGTGGGGTTTCGTCTAATTGCCCAAACGTTCACTTGAACCATCGTTTTCGAGTGAAAATCATAGCCTTCAATTTTGAAATGGGAAATGGTTTCTCTTAGAATAAGGGGGTATGGGTGGATGTAATCTTAGTGTCTCTTTTACTATCATTTTCAAATATGGAAGCTCTTCTATGTCTCTCTCTATGTTACCTTTCCTTTGTTTTCCATATGATTTTTAATTTCTTCTCGAACTTTCTTCATCGATTTTAGATTTTTCACTAGTTCTACCATTACCCAAACTATAGTAATTGAACTAAAGGATAATCCTGCAAAAATTATGTTAGTTGATACACAGTATACAATAGAAAAATGTTAGAAGGTCATGAGTTAATGAAGGATGCATGAGCGTAGAGATAAAAGCCAAAAATGCTCAATAACTCAAAATTAAACTAAAACTTAAGCCTAAAAACCATTAATGTTTAGGCATATAAGTTGCTTACAAAAAGAATGACTTTGATGCTCTCGTGTGTAATGACAATGATATCATTTTACTTTGGCTTAGGCCTCGCAGGATGAAGATGTTCACCAATCACCTCTTGGAACGGAACATTCATCTCATTAAAAACCCTCTCGTCTAGCTTTTCGACCACTAAACCAATCAATTACCTTCCCCACAAAAGGAATAGGAAAAAACTCAAAAGCACTATAGCTTCCCAAGAGGACCTCAACTTTACTCACAATTTCATTAAATCAATCCACTTTAAACAACTTCCCAAAAGCAATTCTAAAAATAATACCAGCAGTGAGAGCAACAGAATTCTTAGCAAGATCAATAGCAGATTCACAAGAAGCTGATTACAAAATTGATTCAATAAGCCAATCAACTTCTTGCTCTCTATCGGGTTAGTAAGGTAACACCCTCTTCATACTAAAAAGTCCAAGAATACAATTTTTTTGTATCACTCGTCACTATTCACTGTAAGGAAAAATTCAATATCAAAAAAATTGTAAGTGAATTTTTTTGTAACATCGGTTTGTGGTTGGTTACAACTTTGAAAATCGTGAGTTTTTAAGAGGGTGCGAGCGGTCTCAATGGAGGATACGATGGTAGTTTCCATACGTCATAGCTGAAAGAGGCGCCATAGGGATTTGTGTGGGAGCTTTCCAAGTTGGAGCAAGTTTCCTATGAATGGAAGTTTTGGTGGGCTTGGAGGAAAATTACCCTTTTTTCTATTTGTAGCTGCTTTTCCTTTTTGGATGATGAAAAGTAGAGATAGGAAGAGGACGAGGGGAAGCCATGGACGGAAATCAAGGAAAGACATTGGAATTTAGAAACCGTTCAAGAACCAGAGGAAAAATATTATGAACAAAAAAGGGTAGTTCTTCTTTAGATTAAACACATAAAATAAAAAGAATGATACAAAAAATAAAAATAAAAAATGACGGTCCACTCCATAAAATCAACCCGCTATAATCCCTCGCCATGGAAAATAAAAATTGAAATAGTGTTTCAAACTTTAATATTTCTTTTATAATTTTTGTATCTTAAAGTTTTTATTCGCCCGTTTAATCTTCTAGTAGATAATATATAAATTTTGTAATAAAATCAAGTTTAGAAGTTATGATTTTCATACGTCTAGTTAACTGGGTCTAGTCCTATCCAACTACACTCCAGAATTTCGATTGCTAGGTAGTACTCATGGAGTAGGCTCTTCGAAAGAATGATACAAGCTGCATTAGAACATACCAATAAACGACAAAAATCATCTTCAAGGACTTTTGTTTCAATTCATTTGGAAAGTGGTCCATCCCTTCATGTTCTTTCATTTTCTATTACATGTTTTTTTTCATTTTCATGCATTGTGTAGTATGTTTACGTTACTCCCAATCTTTCGATACTTCAAAATTTAGAGTGTGTCAGATCATTTATCCCAAACGTAATAAAATGATAAAAAAAAGTCATTATGAATTTGGTACGTTAGATTCTTTTATTCTCAAAGGACAATACTAGCCTCCTAGTCATTAAATATGACTTTTGGAGGTGTTGTTTACTTTTATTGAATCATGTTTTAAATAAGTCTATATCTTTATTGTCTTGTCATTTTAAATTCAGTGATTCAATTATTTAAATTTAACGTCAATCTGTATAGTGAAAATAATTGTCAATAACCCATCAACACAATAAATTTTTTGTGTCAGTGTAGTGTAAAATTATCGGATGCCATAATACAATTATTTGAGTCAGGTTTTATAATTTAGTGGAAGAATGTCCGACTATCATCCACAAAATTGATGTTCTAAGGTTCTATTTTAGTCCACGTTTTCCTCTTTCATTTCATTCGACAACTTCCAATCATAATGGTACAAAAGATTTGCTAAAGCCAACTCCATAGTTTTCACTCCCATATTCAACCCAGAGCATATCCTCCGACCAGATCCAAATGGCAAGAACTCAAAATTTTGTCCTTTGTAATCAACCGAGCTCTCTGCAAATCTCTCTGGAATGAACTCTTCTGGGTCTATCCACCATGTGGGGTCTCGTCCAATTGCCCAAACGTTCACTTGAACTATTGTTTTTGGGTAAAAATCGTAGCCTTCAATTTTGAAATTGGAAATGATTTCTCTTGGAAGAAGAATCGGTCCTGGTGGATGTAGTCTAAGTGTCTCTTTCACTATCAATTTTAGATATGGAAGCTTTTTTAAGTCTCTCTCGGATACCTTTCCTTTGTTCCCACGTGATTTCTAATTTCTTCTTGAGCTTTCTTCATCAATTTTGGATTCTTCATGAGTTCTGTCATTGTCCAGACTAATATAACTAAGCTAGTGTCAATTCCTGCTAAAAATATATTTCGTTGATGCACATCATACCATAGAAAAAATTATAAGGTTGAGATATGATGGTGAAGGCATGAAGGACAGAGACAAAGCAAAAAATGCTCAATATCGGGTTACTAAATTGAATGTTTAAGCTTAAAAACCATTAAAAATTAGAGATAGAAGTTGCTTACCAAAAGAATAGCTTTGATGTTTTCATGGGCAATGACAATACTACAAGTTTCAACTTGCTTTTTACTGATAGTGAAAAGCACATCAATAATATAGTCTTGTTCTGGTTTAGGCCTCTCAGGATGAAGGTGTTCATCAATAACCTCTGGAAACAAAGCGTTGATCTCATTAAAAACTCTCTCAAATTTAGCTTCTCGTCCACGGAACCAATCAATGATCTTCCCAACAAAAGGAGCAGGAAAAAGCTCATTAGAACTGTAGCTTCCCAACAATGTCATAGCTTCACACACAAGCTCATGAAATACTCCCCTTCAAACCTCTTCCCCCCAAATGCAATTCTAAAAATAATACCAACGAGGAAAGCAAATGATTTTTTTAGTAAGATCAACAACAGCTTCACAAGAAGCAAATTTCGAAATCGATTGAATAAGTAAACCAATTTCTTAGTCTCTAATGAGTTCGTAAAATATTACCCTCTTCATACTGTACAACTCTTGCATACAAATTTTGCGTCTCTCTCCAGTAATCATAAGGGGAAAACCCAATATCAAGGAAATTATAAGTAAATTTTTTTTGTAGCGGGGTTTGTGATCTACTGCAACTTTGAAGATCGTGGATTTTCAAGAGGGCACGAGCAGTCTCGGCAGATGATATGATGATGGTTTCTATACGACCTAGGCTGAGGCTCATAATGGGACCGTAAAGCTGAGAGAGGCGCCATGCCAAGTTGATGCATGTTTTGGAAGCTTTGGTGGGCTTGGAGGGAAATTACCATGTCTTCTATCTGCAGCTGCTTTCCATTTTAGGAGGATGAAAAGTGACGAGGAAGAGGACGATGGGAAGCCATGGAGGGAAATGAAGGAAAGACATCAAAATTTAGAAAGAGTTCAAGAATAAGAGGAAAAATATTATGAATATAGAAAAAGGGTCATTCTTTAGATTATATAGTGTTTTAATTCCCGTTGTCATATATTATTTAAACGAAAACACTGAAATATTTTTAAATTTTTAATGGTTGTCTTTAAAATCAATAGTTTAAAAATTATTTAAAACGAAAATATGATGGTCCATAGAAGTACAAAGTTTATTGATATCATTTTTATTGGACTCAAAAGAAGGATATTAGAATCCATGATTTCCATAAATCTAGTTAATTGGATAGAGTCATATCCAACCCCACTTTAGATGCTCAATTGCTCAATGGTCCACATGGAAATGTCTTTTGAAAAGTGTGATACAAGCTCCAATAGAACTGACCTAAATCACAAAAATCAACTTTAAGGATTTTTGTCTCAATATATCAAGAATGACACTTGAATTTGACATTCATTTATGATTTGCTTTAAACTTTTGAAAACTTTAAGATTTAAAGAGTAGCACAAAATGAAAAACATAAACCCACTTCGCCGAGAGCAAGCTTTCGTTTGAACTCTGAGATACATCAAAGGTACTCCTGGCCAAGGACTCTCATTACCATCTAAAAACAACTTATGATTGAAAGCATATAGCGATTTCGATTGGGTTGTTGAACTACTAAGCTGTCTATTTCTGAGTTTTGTACCTTACTCGAAAATTCAATTATTTCTTGAAAGTCTAAAAAGCAAACCAATGTGTCCAGATCATCTGAGTTTTGCATCTTCTTGGTAAACTCAATTATTTCTTGGAAGTCTAAAAAGCAAACTAATTGTCCAAATCATGAGCAGAAGCCGAGTATTGAACTATGACAAATACTTGTTTAGAGTTAACTTGACTGAGATACATTCTTCAAGACTTAAAAGCTCAGCTGTCCAAACCAGCATTATTGTATTGTGATAATCAAGCATCGTTGCATATAGCAGCCAATCTAGTTTTTCACAAATGTAGGAAGCACATTGAAATAGATTGTCATGTAGTTCGGAAAAAGTTAAAAGTTGAAATCATCAATCCATGTTATGTTTCGACTAAAATATAATTGACAGATGTCTTCACTAAACCTTTGGGAATACAACAAATTGATTTTATGAAATATAAGTTGAGTGTGATTGACATATAGTCTCCAACACAAACACGGGGGAGAATTATGAAATTTGATTTAAGATATTAGTTTTGGAATATATTTTATATAGGTGTAATCCGTTACGAATTTTTTTTTTTTTTTTTTAGTAATTTCTTTGTAGTATATTTTGTCTTATTTTCGGGTTGGTAGTTAGAATATTTTCTCTATTAGTAAGATTTAGTTGGTAGCTTGTATCCTAGTTGTGAACATTAATAAAAATCAAACTTTTAATCCCACTTATGTTTCTCGTTCTTAACATTTTTCCATCATTTGTTTTGTTAGTCTAGACAAAAGCCATAAGACTTTACAATTAGAGGACTCGACTTTAAACTTAATACTCATGGATGGTATGAAACTGGTACAAGCTCGAGAGGCAACTTTTTGTGGATGGTAAGACTCAAACCTGACTTCTCTTTCAGGTCGAAGTCCTCCACTTTCATCCCATTGGGCAACTTCCAATCAAAATGGTACAAAAGATTTGCTAAGGCCAACTCCACATTTTTCACCCCTATATTCAACTCCGAGCATATCCTCCAACCAACCCCAAATGACAAGAATTCAAAATGTTGTCCTTTGTAATCAATCGAACTCTCTGCAAATCTCTCTGGAAGAAACTCTTCTAGGTCTTTCCAACATGTGGGGTCTTGCTCAATTGCCCAAATATTTACTTGAACAATCGTCTTTGGGTAAAAATCGTAGCGTTCAATTTTAAAATTGGAAATGATTTCTCTTGGAACAAGAAGAGGTGCGAGTGGATGTAGTCTTAATGTCTCTTTCACTATCATTTTCATATATGTAATCTCTTCTAAGTCACTCTCTGCTACCTTTTCTTTGTTTTCCACGTGATTTCGGATTTTTTCTTGAGCTTTCTTCATTAATGTTGGGTTCTTCACGTCTTCTATCATTGTCCAGACTAATGTAATTGAACTAGTCTCTATTCCTACTAAAAATATGTGCTTTCAATAAAAAATGTCAAAAGAGTATATGACATTAAAGATAGAGACAAAAAAAAAAAAAAAAAAAAAAAAAAAAAAAAAAAAAAAAAAAAAAAAAAAAAAAAAAAAAAAAAATGAAAAAGTTAGTTAACACTAGATCGAAAGTTTAGAAACTAAACTAAAAATTTAGTGTAAGACCATTAAATAATAGAGATAGAAGTTGCTTACCAGTAGAATAGCTGTGATGTTTTCATGGGTAATGACAAGAGGGCAAAATTTAATTTTCTTTTTCTTTTTACGGATAGCAAAAAGCACATCAATAATATCATCTTGTATTGGCTTAGGCCTCGTAGGATGAAGATGCTCATCAATCATTTCTTGAAACAAAACATTCATTTCATTAAAACCTTCTCAAGTCTAACTTCTCAACCACTAAACGAATCAATTACCTTCCCTACAAAAGGAATAGGAAAAAACTCAGAAGCACCGTAGTTTTCCAATAGGGCCTCAACTTCACTCAAGCTCATGAAATCCATACCCTTTAAACGGTTTCCCAAAAGCAATTCTAAAATTAACACCAGTAGTGAGAGCAGTGGACTTCTTAGTAAGATCAACAACTCCCCAAGAAGCTAACTTCGAAATCGATTCAATAAGCAAACTAACTTTTTGTTCTCTAATGGGTTCGTGAGATATCACTCTCTTCATACTGAAAATCTCAAGAATACAAATTTTACGTATCTCTTGCCAGTAATCACTATAAGGTAAAAACCCAATGTTAAAGAAAATTGTAAGTGAGTTTTTTTGAAAGCTTCTTTTTGTGGTCTACTGCAACTTTGAAGATCATGGATTTTCAAGAGGGCTCGAACAATCTCTGTAGAAGATATGATGATGGTTTCCATACCCGTGAGACTGAGGCTGATAATGGGACCATAAAGCTGAGAAAGGTGCCTTAAGGATCTATGTGGGAGCTTGCCAAGTTGGTGCAAGTTTCCTATGATTGGAAGCTTTGGTGGGCTTGGGGGAAAATTACCCTTCTTGCTATTTGCAGCTGCTTTCTCTTTGAGGATAATGAAAAGTATAGAGAAGAAGAGGATGAGGCGAAGCCATGGAGGGAAAGGAATTGAGAAAGGAAGGAAAGACATTGGAATTTAGAAAGAGTTCAATAATAACAGGAAAATGTTTATGAATAAAATATGGTCGTTCTAGATTTAATAATAGTAAAACAAGACGTTTTGCCGTTTCAATTCTCATTTTCATAATTAATTTAAATGAAAACAATGAAATGTTTCAAATTTTTAATGGTTGAAAACTGTAGATGAAAAAATTATTAAAAAGAAAATTTGATGGATTACATAACCAATATCTTGATATTATTCTTACACCAGCTTGAAGAATGATTCCAAGACACGACGGTCCACTCCATAAAAGAAATTAGCTATCATCGCTCATCATCTCTCATCTTGATATTAGTCTTCTCATAGATTTTCATAGACCTAGTTAATTAGGTCTAGTCCTATCCAACCCAGAATTTTGATTGTTCTTTCATGTTCTGTTACACTCTCTTTATACATGACACAATAACGGCCCCAGACATCGAACATCAATGCAAATAATGGAGATTACTCTATTTTGTATTGTTCTTTCATGTTCTGTTACACTCTCTTTATACATGGCATGGTCTCGGACATCGAACATCCATGTAAATAATGAAGATTACTCCCTTTTGTATGGTTTAAATAACTTTTTTATTCTATGAAATTACTCATCAACATAAGCTAGCTAAGCTAATATACAATAACGTTCTTTGTGTTAGTATAGTGTAAAATTATATGCAATACTACAATTATTTAGGTCCGGTTTAATAACTTAATGTAAGAATGTTAAAATATCATAAACAACATTTTTTCTAGATGAATTTTTTCTATTTTTAAAATTTCATCAATTTAGTAAATATTATGACAATATAAGTTTATAATCAACAAATATTTGTTGAGGAGTTATAGAAAGACGTTAAAATATCCTTTTTAAAATTTATATTTTGAATTTTATTTTATTTTAGTTTCAATTAAAAAAACTCTCAATTGTAATGTATTATGACATCTCGTACTACACATTATCTTCAATCATATCATCATTGTGCATCTTATATCATCATGTCATCATATAACATCACATCATATCACATCATCATCATAGTATATAAGCATAAATGGCACGTGCAAGAGCCATTTTTTTTTTTTTTTTTTTGTGGAGGGTGAGACTCAAACCCAAATTCTCTTCCATGTCCAAGTCCGCCTCCTTCAT